CTCCTGGCTTTGGATTGGTGCAGCACCGGCCATTGAGGTCACCTGGGGAGTGAATCAACGGATCTTCCTCTCTCTCCTCCTCCTCTCTGTATATCTGACTGTCCAATAAAAATAAAATCTTAAAAAAAAAAAAAAAGCAAAAGAATGTGTGTTGGCATGGTGGTTCAACTGGTTAATCCTTTATCTTCAAGTGCTGGAATCCCATATGGGCTTCCTACACAGTTCCTTGCTGTGGCCTGGGGCACAGTAGAGGATTGCCCTAAACCTTAGGATCCTGCACCCATGTGGGAAACTGAGAAGAGGCTCCTGGCTCCTGGCATTGCATCGCTCAACTCCAGTCATTGGGGCCATTTGGAGATGGAAGATCTTTCTGTCTCTCCTTTTCTCCAAAAGTCTGGTCTACCTTTCCAATAGAAACAAATAAATCTTAAAAGAAATGATGAGGAATGAGGCTGAGAGGCAGGGTAGGGGAGTGTTTTTCAGTCTAAAATCTGCTGTATGTGTTATGTATTTATCCCTATTAGTCAAATTAAGCTTTACTACTTATCAGGCCTTTTCTTCCCTTTGAAGGTTTATTTATTTATTTGAAAGGCAGAGTTGGCTGATTCACTCTCAAATAGCCACAACAATCCGGAGTTGGGCCAGGCTGCAGCCAGGAGCTTGGGGCCTCGTGTTGTCTCCCATGTGGGTGCAGAGGCCTGAGGCTTTGGCGTTGCTCTTCCAGGCCAGCACAGGGAGCTAGACGGCAAACGAGCAGCTGGGGCACAGGCCAGAGAGCCCATGTGGAGTAACAGCACTGCAGGTGGTGGCTTACCTTGCGGAGCCACAGTGCCACTCCGACACAGGACGCTCAGACCGTGCTGTGACGGTCACTGCTACAGCCCTTTGGGAGCCGCTTAGAGATGCTCTGTTGAGTGAGGAAATGGTGTGATCGGTGCGAGTTTGGCAAATGCCGCCTCTGGTTTGTTCTCTGGAGTTTGGTGTGACTGCTGTTTAAATGGGACCTCGGGAACGGGCAGGCTTCAGAAGGCGTTTCGGAGCCAGGGATTTACGGTTTAGCGCCGATCTCTTTTGTATATTAAATCAGTTTGTCTAATTTGCCTTGTATGGTTGCCAGGGTTAGTAAATAGATCATGGAAATTTTAAAGAACAGTACTAGTATACCTTTTTCTTCCTTATTTCTGCTTTTTAATGATGGGTTTCTACTTCTCTGTTTAATTTACTGTTTATCCTGCATTACTTCTTGAGATGTAAACCTGGGTTTTATTACGCTTTCCTTGTTTTTTTCTTGTACATAGGTTTAATAGTATACATTGCTTTTTAAGCGTAGTGTTAGTTTTTTAATCTTTTTATTATCGCTGGTTAAAAATATTTTCTTCCCCTCCCCCCAGTATTTATTTATTTATTTATTTGAAAAGCCCAGCTCCGGAGAGCAAGGTCTCCCTGCACTCGTCCTAATTCAGGGTTACGTTTGTTTCATCTTTTCACTTCCAGCTTCTCTCCGTTCTTTAAATTTGAGGATTTTCTTTAGAACATGTCTTTGAGTTTTTCCTGTTTATAATTTAGTCTGATAGTTTTTGTCTTTTAATGATAGTTTGCTTAATTTACATGCAGTGATTACTGATATGTAGATTTTGATCTGCTAGTTACCTATTTTACTGTGCTTAAAATGTCCCTTTGTCTTTTTAAAAATCTTCACTTTTGTTTCTTTGTATCAGGTAATGTAGTAGTTACATGCACAGTCTGTGGCTTTAATTTTAGTGAGTTCCCTGGATTACAAAAGTTGAGCAGAACTAATCCGGGAATCTGAATTCCAAAGTGGCCTAGAATACGAAGCCTTTGATTGCTCACCTGGTACTGCAGATGGCGAAGCCACACTTGCACAGTGAAGACAAAGGCTGAAGTAATCAGAGAAAGTTGTCCGAAACTACCTGCAGGCAGTGTGTGATTTGGATCTCATCCCCGGGATGGCGCGTCACAGTAATCCCAGTGCTGAACCAGTTGGGATCAAAACATTTCTGATAGGGCTTATTTGACCTTTGATTTCTCAGACCAGCATGTTTAACTTCCTTATTTGTAGCAGGGCAGAGCTCCTGGGGCTTCGAGGGCCCTAGGGCCCCGTCTTTATGCTGCACCTGCCAAGCAGTGTGCCGCTGGGAGTTTCAGGCCCTGTGGGACGTTGCTGGGATGATTTTATTTGGAATCACTCGTCACTTCCAGCTGACATCTGTGCCCGCTTCTCAGTCTGTTATGTCCTGCCCTCCTTCTGCCCAGAGAGTACTAGTATCTAGGTTGGGAATAACTCCCCTTCATGGCAGAGTTGCCCCTCCTGTCCCACTTACCCTTATGTGGGGAGAGTCCGAGGCTGGCAGTGCCTTTCCTGTGCCCCCCAGCACCCTGTCTCCTGGCTCGTGTTGCTGAGGAGGACTTTGCCAGTAATCTAGATTGCTGCTCTTTGGCAGGAAATTTTTGCTTTGTACTTAGTTTTTGGCAGTGTGCTGTGGTGTGATTACCTTGTCATATATCCTTATTGGAGTTTGTAAAACATTAAATTTATAGCTTGGTTTTTTCGAGGACTTGTAGAAAATTCTCCGACTTTGTAAATACTGCCTTCAGCTGCTGACTTCCTCAGAATGACGGCTTTCCATCTGCTGACCCTCTGATGGAGCATCCTGGTACTGTTCCCTGCTGTGTGTTTTCATTGGACCTCGGTTCCAGTTCACAAGTTCTGTATTCAGCTGTTTGTAATATGCGTTAAACTTGCCTATTTAATTTTTCCCCTCTGAAATTTGCATTTGGTTCTTTTTTTAAATTTGAAGTGGTTTTTTTTTTTTTTTTGAAAGGCAAAGAGACAGAAAGAGATGTGCTACCCCCACCCCCCAGTTCACGCCCCACACGCTTGCAACAGCTAAGTCTGAGCAAGCTGAGGCCTGGTAGGGGCCAGAAACTGGGTAGGTGGCAGAGACCCAGGTTTGCACATTAACAGGAAGCTGGATCTGAGGCAGAATTTGGCACTTCAGTGTGGGATATGGTTGCCCCAAGAGGCATTGATTTGTTTTATTACAAAGTCAGATAAACAGAGAGGAGGAGAGAGAGAGGAAGATCTTCCATCCAGTGATTCACTCCCCAAGTGACCACAACAGCCGGTGCTGCGGCGATCTTAAGCCAGGAGCTCTTTCAGGTCTCCCACGCAGGTGCAGGGTCCCAAGGCTTTGGGCTGTCATCAACTGCTTTCCCAGGCCACAAGCAGGGAGCTGGATGGGAAGTGGAGTTGCCGGGATTAGAACCGGCACCCATATTGGATCCCGGGGTGTTCAAGGTGAGGACTTTAGCCTCTAGGCCATGCTGCCGGGCCCCAAAGTCTTCCTTTTTCTAAGTCATGTTTTTTCAATATGTGGGTGCATTCAAAATATGTATTCTGTTTTTTCAATAAATACAGAAACATAAACATTTCGTTTTAAATGGCTTTTGCTGCTATTGGACCCTCCTCATTCACTTCTCTTTATTTGTATGTTCCATTTCTTAGAAAGAAATGGAGTAGTAGGGCTTCTCAGTGGTTTTTAAAATGTGCTTGGTGTAGCAGTAACATTTAGTTGAAGTGGTTTCAGACTAATGAACATTGGTAGTAAGTTCTGGGCTCTCAGTGCCTGCTTGCTTATACTTTGCTAAAGCATTGTATCACATAGCCTCCTTGGAATCGTCAAAATTCTAGGTCAGAATAAACATGTAATGATGTCATAGTTAGGATATCTTGGAAGACTAAGCAAGAAAAACTTGTAAAAATTTTAAATTATAAACTAGATTTGCTATTTGTAGTATTCAGGTTTAAACCTCTTTCTGGCTCACAAATTGCTTCGGGGGTCCCCAGAGTGCCCCACCCTCATGTTTGGAGGTGACTGACTGTACAGTTCTCATCATGGCTGACTTCCCAGCAGCTGATTCAGAGAACCAGGTGAGGTCTGGAGGAATCCCGTCTCCTCTTTGTGAGCTCGCAGACGCCACGTGCTTTCACAGCCATGAAAATGGCACGTGTATGACGGTTCCGCATGGGAAGCCCCTGGAGAGCACACAGGCTTTTCTTGGGGCTGCCCTTACGGTATCGGGAGGTTGTAGATCGGGCACTGTTCCCCACACAGGTTCCCGGGTACGCACTCGGCTCACCCTTGCAAGTAGGCCTTGCTTGAGGGAGCGCTCCCAGCCTGCCGGGTAAGCCTGTCCTGAGCTGTCTGCATCGTGTGCAGGTGTCGCAGCTCAGCTTGGTCAGTTCTACTTTGATAACTGGGAAGATGTACATCATTCAGTTTAGATGGCTAAAAATACCTGTTTATCATGTCTTAGTGTATTTCATACAAGTTTTACTCATTTGCCTGTTGTCAGTTTTAATCCATGTGTGGGAAGACTAGGACAGAGTTAGAACATTTAGTACATCTAAAAAGAACATTGGAAAAATTAAATTACAATGGGAAGTAATCCATTATGAAAGGGCACTTCAGATGTCTCCTTTTAAAGTTCATGTTGAACCACCCACATGCTTTCCAAATTTCAATGGACTTGTTTTATGGAAGCTTTTTTGAAGAGTATGTTACCAGAATTTTGGCTAGAACAGCAGAAGGTAACTTGGCAGTAAGAAACACCAAATTCTGACTACTGTGAGAGTGAAGTGAAAGACTTGTAGGTTAAAACTGTAAGTCGACCCAGAAAGATAAATGACTTCAGCAAGACTGGGACTCGCTGCTGAATTTTATTCCACCGAGTTTTAGTCACAGAACATGCACATGGATGCGTTGTCTCCGCTAGTGACGTCAGGAGTGTCCTGGCTGACTTGTCAGGCGTTTGTCAATGCCAGATCAGATGCTGCTGGGATGCTCTTTTCCCTCGTCGCGGTTGACGTGCGTCTTGAGGGTGCTTGGACGCTGCCTGCTTCTCTTTAGGAGTTTGTGTACGTGTAAGTGTTAATGATAGCGGGTCTCTCAAAGTATGTTATTTCCCTCCTCTTCAAGGTAATACTGCCTTGCATGACTGTGCGGAATCTGGAAGTCTGGACATCATGAAGATGCTGCTTATGTATTGTGCCAAGATGGAAAAGGATGGTTATGGAATGACTCCGCTTCTCTCCGCGAGTGTGACTGGTCACACAAATATCGTGGATTTCCTGACACACCATGCACAGACCAGCAAGACAGAGCGCATCAATGCTCTGGAGCTCCTGGGAGCTACATTTGTAGACAAGAAAAGAGACCTCCTTGGGGCGTTGAAGTACTGGAAGAAGGCGATGAACATGAGGTACAGTGACAGGACGAATATCATCAGTAAGCCCGTGCCGCAGGCGCTGATCATGGCCTATGACTACGCCAAGGAGGTCAACAGTGCCGAGGAGCTGGAGGGCCTCATCGCCGATCCTGACGAGATGAGGATGCAGGCCCTGCTGATTCGAGAGCGGATCCTCGGGCCTTCTCATCCTGACACCTCCTACTACATCAGGTACAGAGGAGCTGTGTATGCAGACTCGGGGAACTTCAAGCGATGCATCAACCTGTGGAAGTACGCTCTTGACATGCAGCAGAACAACCTAGACCCTCTGAGCCCCATGACCGCCAGTAGCTTGCTGTCGTTTGCAGAACTGTTCTCCTTTATGCTGCAAGACAGGGCAAAGGGCCTGCTGGGCACCACTGTGACATTTGATGATCTTATGGGCATCCTGTGCAAAAGCGTCCTTGAGATAGAGCGTGCCATCAAACAGACTCAGTGTCCGGCCGACCCGCTGCAGCTGAACAAGGCTCTCTCCATCATTCTACACTTGATTTGCTTGCTGGAAAAAGTTCCTTGTACTCTTGAACAGGACCACTTCAAAAAGCAGACTATCTACAGATTTCTTAAGCTGCACCCAAGAGGAAAGAATAACTTCAGCCCTCTGCATCTGGCAGTGGACAAGAACACGACCTGTGTGGGGCGGTACCCTGTGTGTAAGTTTCCGTCCCTGCAGGTGACCGCTATTCTGATAGAATGTGGTGCTGACGTGAACGTCAGAGACTCTGATGACAACAGTCCCCTACACATCGCCGCCCTCAACAACCATCCAGACATCATGAATCTCCTTATTAAATCAGGTGCCCATTTTGATGCCACAAACTTGCACAAACAAACTGCTAGTGACTTGCTGGATGAGAAAGAAATAGCTAAAAATTTGATCCAGCCCATAAATCACACCACATTGCAATGTCTTGCCGCTCGTGTCATAGTGAGTCATAGAATTTATTATAAAGGGCATATTCCAGAGAAGCTGGAGACCTTTGTGTCGCTTCACAGATGATAGTCTGTGCTTTCGCAGTCAGTCGCTTCCTAACTGAGCACTGTTGTGATAACACCAGCATTCATTTAGCTTGACATCGTTGTGCTCTCCTTGGCTAACGCATTATAAGCATCAGATTTACAGGATTGGTTTCCCAGTATTTAATATAAATATACCATATAATATATTGTTTGTGAATTATTAAGAAATGTCATATTCAGATTTTTAGAACTGTCTGCCAAAGGCTACCCATTCTGGTTTTGTTTGCTGTTGGTGTTTGGGCAGTTAACCAATTTTCAGTGGTGTCTTTATACTTACACTGGTTTGAATTTTATACAGTTGAAGGTCTTTTTTTCTTCTCCTCTGGTTCCACGTTACTTTTTCCCTGGCCATTTCTGCCACAATTTCCGCCCTTGTGGACCCGTGCTAGATTGTACAAACATGGACTCGTTACCGTCTGCAGTTACCATAAGTGCTTTATCTTCTCTATGCACTGGCTTAAACTGGACTGTTGTATGTTAGCACATTTCTATGCAGCAGTTGGTCGACTTAACTCAGAAAATCTTGAATTTGTTATGAAGTTTGTTTTATTAAAGCATGACAATTTCTAGAGCCACAGGTCAGCTATTCTGAGCGCAGGCTTTTCTCTCTCTCTCTCTCTCTCTTTTTTTTTTTTTTTTTTAACATCTGAGGTTTCTTGAACCCACTGAAATTCTTGTGTGCTAAATTTGGGAAACAGATCTATTCTCATTAACCCAATTGAAATTGAGGTCTGTCAGCTCAGTGTACCATGTGGTCAAAGGAAGGCGCTAAGGTGACCCGCCCTTCGCGCTGTGCCAGCCTTGTCTTGCGGGTGCTGAGGGTGTGACTGGCTGTAGAGAACTTGCTTAAATCTAACCTCAAAGTTTATCTCAGTATGACAAGTCACATATCCAGTAAGTTTCAAAAAGAGCTGAAGCATGTCAGTGGCATGATGCTTGCCAAGCCAGATCTAGGCGTCTAGGATAATTAAAGTGTTTAGTATGCAGTTTATCGCCATAGTATCAAAGATCAGTAACAGTGTTCTTCAAGCTTATTGTATACCTCTAAAGATAGCTTGCATGAATTATTTTCTCTCAATTATTTGTCCCCCAATTGAACACAAAGGCGGCAGTGCTTCCTGCTCCCCTCCTGAAGGCTCGCCTCGCCCTGCCCCTTCCCCGCTTCCTGTCCTCCTGGACTTCCTGCGCTCTCCCTCCCGCTCGCTTCTTTGGCTTGTTGCCTTCCCCCCCTTCTCTCCTTTCTTCCCTACTTCCTTCCCTTCGCAGATTTGCTAAATGCCACAGAAAGGGCTCTTTTAAGAAAAGATAAATGCAAAATACTAAGGAAAAAAAATTCAGGAATTGTCATTCAGCACTTTATTGTTATTCAGAATAAAATTTGTGATGGCATATATATTTGCCCTGCAAATGTCTTGATAAAGTTGTTCTGAATAAAAAGAACTCCATCTGACTAGAGAAAGGTGTAGTCTGCCTGTGAGTTGAGTGAGCCGGGTCACTCCCTTGGGTTTTTGTGTGGGTGTTTTTGCTGAGGGTTGCTATAAGGAGTCATCATTGCAAACAGTCGTATTAGGTATGTCTTCATTATTCTAGTAAAAAAAAAATTTGTAATGAACAATAGTAAATAAGTGATAGAATGTTAGACATTTTGGTTAAATGATTGAACTTAATTGGTTGAAAGAGATTCTTTTTCTAGGTTGTAATTTGAATTTCACCGCTGTGAAAGATGACTTGGTTGTGAGTGGGCACTCCCCAACCTTTTAATGAAGAGTCTTTTACTGTGGGCAAATTTGATGAAGTATTGAGCTGCCACACGTGTTAAGAGTATTGTAATTTGTGATATAGATGAATGTTCTAGAGATATCAAACATCACTTTGAAATCAGCTGCCTCTCACCTTGTGGTATAAGAATTATATTTGCATGAGCTGCTCTTTTTAAAAAGGAAAAACTTGCCAGTATAATAAATCTGCGTTAGTTGATATCATTAATCTTGTGGAAAAGATGGCAACTGGGTTTTGAGGTGACCTCTTCAGAGGGCAGGTGGAGGGCCCACAGCTCTTGGAGGAGGATGCCTCTGTGGCGTAAGTTAAGGACTTCTTTAAAGGGTGTTTTCCCGCCAGTAAAAGCAGGTGACTTAGAACTAACAAGTCCTCGTTGTTGATAGCTGAAGCCTCGTCCCAGGCCTGCCCCAGCTCCTCTGCTGCCATCCCCACACACGTCACTGGGAGCTCTCCAGAAGGAAAGTTGTCCATGATTTTATTTTAGAGAAAGCTGGCTTGTCAGTGTGACTTGAGGGCCTGAATCCAAAGACATCCTCAGAAGTGCTGTGGGACTGAATAAAATACTTAAAGCTTATGTTCCATTTTAACTATAGATGAATAAATTTAATAATTAATGAGTCCACTGTACTTGAGTCAAACAAAGCTATACATCATAGCATGGCTGGAGTTGATGGGTAGGTACATTTTGATTATATTTCTACAAAAAAATGCCTTATTGGAAACCACTGATTTTTTATCATTCCTCTGAAAGAAATGGTTATTTTATACAGATTAGATACCAGTTTACAAATTCAGATGGATTATAGATTAAAATGTATCTGTAAATCCAACAGTCATAAGCCCAGATTGGCCTCGATTGCTTGGTGCCCATCATGATTTTGGAGTTGAGCGACTGCTTAAGTGACAACCTTAATGGGTGGTATCTTAGAGACCTCTGTCTACTGTGACTCGGAAAATCACTTCGATGATCTTAATCTTTGGAAGGGAACGCTTCAAAATCTGAATGCAGCCTAATAGTTGTTATTAATTTGCTCGGAATCATGCATGGGGGCTGGTTGGATAGGAACATGCTGTGCATGGGAGCCGCGTGACGGCCGTGGAGTCGCCCTTCCAGAGGTGGATGCTGAAGAAATGCAAACTCATTGGCCATGCTTTTTTTTTTCTTGTTTCTTTTTTTTTTCCCTCATGTATCGATAAACAACAAGTTTCTCTCCCTTTTGTCTGTTCCCATTGTGTATTTTTCAAAAGAAGTACTGTATTCAGATGCCAGCCAATAAATTGTCACACAATGGAAATGATAACGCCACAACATTCATTGTAAAGCTTAATAAAATTAAATTTGCACCAAGTTTAAGTGTACTGTGATTAAGTTTTTCTTTTTTTTTTTTTTTTTTTTACCTTTAAACAGCAGACCCAGAGACAGGACCCCGTTTTCACTTTTCTTGCTGGCTAGGCTGAAGCCAGGTCCCATGGGTGGGCAAGCAAGCAGGCAATTGCCAGTCCTCACCAAAGCTTCCCAGAGTCTGTATTCGCAAGAGACGGCATGAGCCAGAGCCTGGCCTTGAACCCAGATCAGAGTGGGACTGAGGCATCTTAAACCTGAGGCAAAAAGGCTGCCTCACCCCCAACACGCCATTGCTGGTGTCAATTTTGAGTGACAGTGGACTCTTGGATGCTTATTTCAGAAGGCACCTCCTTGGTAACTTAGGGGTAGCTAGAACTTGGAAGGCAGCATTTATTGGGCCTGGCGCGATAGCATAGCACGTAAATCCTCACCTTGAACAGTCCAGGATCCCATGTAGGCACCGGTTCTAATCCCAACAGCCCTGCTTCCCATCCAGCTCCCTGCTTGTGGCCTGGGAAAGCAGTCATGGATGCATCCGCATGGGAGACCCTGAAGAAGCTCCTGGCTCCCGGCTTCAGTTTGGCTCAGTTCCAGCCATTGCAGCCACTTGGGTTTCAGCCATTGGATAGAAGATCTACCTCTCTATCTCTCCTTGTCTCTGTATATCTGCCTTTCCAATTAAAAAAAAAAGAATATTTATTAACAGGTCTGTGAAAACTAGGAGGCTATGTCTTTTTTATGAAGAATTATTTTTATTTGAGATTTTTTTTTTATAGAGAGAAGGAGAGACGGTCTTTAAGAAAGTGCTGGCACGTAGCAAGCACAGCTTGTTAAAAGAAAGTAACAGAGCTGGAGAAAGAGACGTCTTCTGTCTGCTGCTTCACTTCCCAAACGGCCACAAGGCCGGAGCTGGGCCAGTCCCAAGCTGGAACCTCCAGGTCTCGTGCGAGGCTGCAGGAGCCCAAGTCCTTGGGCCATCTTCCGCTGCCTTCCTAGGTGCGTTAGCAGGGAGCTGGACTGGAAACGGAAGCAGCCAGGGCTCAAACTCCCACATGTGTCCTCACACAGATGTGTCCTTGTGGAAGTGGAGAGACTGTGCACGGAACTCGGGGACTGAAGAGAAAGGTGGCTTGTGGTGTAAATGACATGGAAGGCAGCCGGAGTGGGAAGGTAATTAGCCAGGTGCTTGCAGAGTAGGTGTTGGGGTGGGTCAGTGTGCCTGGGTCTGCTACTGGCAGGAGATATGGCCACACTGGATTCCCTGAAGGAGAGTCTGAGTGAAATGAGCCAGCCTGACTTTTCAGCCAGTCACAGGAACAGGCCTGGTTGGGAGCCAGCTGGGATTTCCTGGCCACAGGACAAAGGCCAAGGAGAGAGATAGGACTAGCGTGGGGTTTGGCAGTCCTGCAAAGGAGCTAGGACTTGGTTCTGAGCAGGGCAGGGAGCCGCAGGTGGATGTCAGTGCGGAAGTCACACGGCGGGATTCGTGTTTTGGAAAGACCGCTCTCATTCCATGGGGAGACAGCAGGGCAGGGTGTCGGGGAGAAGGTCTCCAATGGCACAAAGGTCTGGGTCCTGTGTAAGAGCTGCTGGGCTGACGATGTGGGGCTTGGGGTTCACTTGTGATCCATCTAAACAGAGACATCAGTGCAGTGAGGAAAGTGGTGGATGGAGAACTGGGAGCTGTCAGCAGATGGCCCAGGCCCAGGGTGGTCTTGGGCTCAGAACCTCAGAGGCACAATGGTGGCAATGAAACCTGAGGACGCTCCGCATGCAGGTCTGCCTGCTCCGCCAGCACCTGTGCTGACCTGACAGGACCAGCCAGGCTCCCATAGCAAGCAGCCTGGACAGGAGGAAGGGGCACCCAGCAGGGGTATTGACTGAGAAGCCTCCTGAGAGGTGTCCACAGGCTGGAGACGGTCCATATCTGCAGGCCTGGGTGAGGAAGCCAGCCGGGAGTGCAGCTCAGGGCCAAATGCCACAGGACCAGCGGGGAAATCGTGTCCTGAGTGCTGGAGTCCAGCGGCCAGCAAGCCTGCTGGTGCACCGTCTGCAGTGGCACCAGGTGCCTCCCTCTCACTGCCCTGTCAGTGGTGCGCACACCTGCAGGAGGCCTGAGCGCCTCTCGGCCTTCCCAGCACTGGAGGAGCGTGAGGACCATGGACACTGGCCCTGGATGCCGACTGCACAGTCCACTGCTGCAGAGGGCCACGTCCGGGAATGATGCTCTCGGTCCTGGTACACAGACGTGCCCTCTGCACCTCTGGCTTTGCGAGTGCAGGCTTGAGGGCACGTCTTCCGGCTGCTTCACCATGACCATCCCCATCTTGGAGGTCCTGCTGACCCCTCGGGCTGGACCAAGCCTTGGTTCAGTTCACTGTCTGTGGAGTCACATGGCTACTCTCCCAGGGCTTGCTGTCAACTGCCAGTCAGAACTTCTTAGCTCTGTCTTGCACTTAACTGTGAGTATGTTACAAAGGGGTGCAAATGGCAATTGCACCATCATACCCACGTGTTAATGCATTGCTTGGGGGTTAGTTGCTCCCAGGTGGACTGTGTATCTAGTGTGCATGTGTTTCTTTCTTTTTTTATTATTAAAGGTTTATTTGAAAGGTGGATATGCAGAGAGAAGAGACAGAGAGGAGGATCTTCCATCTGATGATTCACTCACCAAGTGGCTGCAACGGCTGAGGCTGAGCAAATCCGAAGCCAGGAGCCGCTTCCAGACCTCCCACGTGGGTGCAGGGGGCCACAGGTAGGGAGCTAGATGGGAAGTGGAGCTGCGGGATTAGAACCGGCGCCCGTATGGGATCCCGGGCGTGCAAGGCGAGGACCTTAACCACTACGCCATCACGCCGGGCCCTGTGCATGTGTTTCTGAAATTGAGAAATGAGTGAGAGTTACCACCATTCCACTGTCTGGACACAACTTCTGTTGACATTTAGGTGGTTGTTGTAGCCTCAAGTTAACGAAGCAATCACATCAAGGAAGTGTCATTGTGCAAAGGCTCTTCATACAGTTCATGGGAAATGTGTGCTGTTAAAAAGAGTGAGCACTTCTTTGCTACCGAAACAGACCTATCTAACCCCATTTTCCATGAACTTTTCAGTGTTGTGTTATTTCCAGCACTTACGTCACAGACATTACCAGTTGCTCAGGCTTAGATGTCTCCCCAGGGTGTCTGTGTAGGGAGCTAGCCCCCCACCCCATGTGGGGCTGAAGGAGGTCCTCAGGGTGTGGGGTCACTGCCCTCGGGAGGGTGTGCTGAGTTCCTAGAGCTGCTTCTCCCCAGGGAGTTGTTGCAGAAGCCTGAGTGACACCTTGACTGTCCCTCTGGCTCCAAGCATGGCAGATGCCACCAGGTGATGCAGCCGCATGTCCCACTGTGCGCAGTCAGCCTGTCTCCTTACTGTCTGTGGATACTTCCCAAGAAGCTAATGTGTGTTTACTGCATTTAGTGTCCTCTAAGTCACCTTGTGGACGCCAGCTGCATGCACAGACCAAGGTCAGGAGCTGCCAGCAGCAACCTCACACTTTGGGCTTCGGGACTCGGGGATGTGTGTACAAGGCCATTGCCTGGATGCTACCTCTTGCGTTGATAGCCAGGCCAAGGTGTGTGGAGCTCTGAGTTGTGTCCACCTCCTCAGTTTCACCTCTCACCATCCAGAGGTACTTGCCGTCCCTGGGACAGGCAGCAAGCCTTGGATGCTCCAGCTGCAGGTGGGGCATCCTCGGAGTAGTAGCCCGTAAGACCGTATTCCTTGGTCTTACAGAAGCCGTGTTCAGACGTCACCCTGTGAGGTCAAATGTATCACCTAGCTGCTTTCTCTCGCCCCCTGCTTGCATGATCAGGGTCCCTCTTGGCGAGCAGGAGCCAGCCAGGCCACGTCTGTGCTTTCATTTAGCTAAAACGGCACCGATCAGAAAGGATACCTGTGGTCTGATGACGAGTGGCCTGCAATTAGTCGCTCTGCAAAGGGAAATGTGGGACAACCTCGCCAGTTAACTCGTGTGCAAGGGGACCCAGGCTGCCTGTGAAATTAGGGCGGCCCCAATACAAGTGAGGTTAGAAGCCAGTGGGAGACAAGTGGGTCTGCCTCCACCATAGCTTACAGCTCTGGGCAGCGGCTCTGGGCGAGGGTGTTCTGGGTCCCCGTTTCAAACATATAGAGACTGGGCCTGGTGTTGTGGTGCAGGGGGTTAAGCATAGCCTACAGTGCTGGCATCCATGAACAGTGCTGGTTCTAGTCCTGGCCACTCCGCTGCACCTCCTGATCCGGCAGCAGAGGATGGTCAGAGTTCCAGGCTGTGGGCTATGGCATGGCCCAGCCCGGCCGTTTAGGCCGTTTAGGGAAGGAACCAGCACATGGAATCTCCCTCTCCCTTCTCCTCTTTGCCTTTCAGATAAATTAAATGTTAGGAAAAAAAGGTACAGATCCTACCTGCCGTGTGGCCTGAAGCAGGTGCCAAGCATGAGGTGCCCCAGCACGTAGCGTCTGAAGCCACCACCCCATGTACCCTGTCCCCAGGAGGGGACCGGTAGGGACCGGTAGGCCAGCAGCTGCCTTCGGCTTCCTCCCATCCTTTCTGTGCAGTCCTGGAGGTGATTCGCCCAGCAGCTTCCTGTGAGAGAAGGCAGCTGTATGTGAGCTGGGCTCCAGTCCGCATGTTCCTGCTGAGCCCGGCAGTTGCTGCTGGTGGCATGAGCCGGAGGGGGACCCAGCCTCTGAGTGTGCCTGGGATTTCTGCTGTACCTCTGGTGCTGTCCTTACCTCCTGTGCACAGTGGAGTGAAGTGCCCAGGGTCACTTCCTCCTTCACTTTTTTTGCAAAGAAAAGCAGATCTTCCAGTAGTGGAAGCAATGTCTCAGGGATGCTGTGTTCCAGACAGCAAGCATCTTCTTCCTCTCTGGGTGTCTGCTTGGCCAGGTCAAGTGTCCACCAACGTCCTGCCAGTCTCGCTTTGCTGTCACAGGACGGCGTGGTCATTGGCGTGTCTGTCTT